AAAGAGGATGGTGAACGATGACGCTGTGAGAGATGCCCGCTGCAGCACAGGGGGAAGCCAGCAACAGATGGACGTGTTCAAATGGATATGACGGGCAGCACATGGCAAAACCAGCTAAGCTCCCAATCTGTCAGCTCCTGTAGGCAGTGGCCTCTGAGCTGGGGTTTGCCTTTGGATGTCAGTGCACATCCTCACAAGCACGAATGGGCTCTCGTGCTTCCTTAAAAGCAGAGCACAGGGATGCTGTACCAAGGGCCTGAGGACAATGCACATACACACGCAGATGAGATTTTCATAAATGTACACTGTCAGAACACATTACTGCTCTGCATTAATCTCATCCTTCCTTTCCTCCACTTCTCCCTTCCAATGAAGGATATGGAAACCTAACACATCCTTTCCCCTTCCCGATCCCAAACCCAGCTGCAACTAGCTCTGGCTCTTGTAGGAGGTCTGTAAAACAACCCATTTGTTACTGAAATTACCCATGCCCCATTCATGGCCAAATTATTCTTGAAAACCTTGCATGTAATGTACACAAAAATTAAAGGCATGAGCAGCATGTCATAGTTCGTGAAGTGCTGTAGGCACTTGCCACCTTATTGGAGGTCAAAATGTCATTTTGTGGACTATCAGATAACCACAGCAACTCAATTAAACTTCTGAACAGGGAACGGCAGTCATTAGGAATTGCTCTTCCCCTCCACTCCCGTCCTTTCTCAGACTCAAGGGAGCCTGCTTCTTGTTTCTTCAGACAAGCCACCCACCCACAGGATATTCAACCAAAGAATTTCCATTGCGCGCACTTGGCAGGCTTGTGCTCGCCGCAGTGGCTGACCTGACCTGCTGGCCCCCAACCAGTCCACCCCGCTCGCCTTGCTGGAGCGTCCACAGGCACAACACAAACCAGCTTTGAATTACTGGGTTATTTCCGTAATAGCAGACCAGTGAGCTGAGTTCTGCCTTTCCGGGGCTGCTCCTTGCAAACCTTCGCACAGCGCAAATTGATCAAATGTTTCCAGCCAGCCCAGGTGTGTGGGCAGAGCAATTACCTGGCAATACACCATTCTAGCAGTGTGTGCTGTCTGCTCAGGATGGGATGCTCATGCAAAGGGTTGATATTAAAAACAACTGATTTTTTGGACTCAAGGCAGCACCTTTTAATCCTCAGGCAGAGAAAACATGCTTTTCTGAAAAGAACACAGAGCCTTGCTGAGAGGTTTGATGGAGAAATGCAAACATGCGTGACTGGAAAGTATGCATTATAATTTAATAATACTATATAATGTATAATTATAATGACCCAGTGTTTCCTGGCAGCTCTTGAGAAGAACCACAAGCCCTGAATGGTGGGACATATATTTAAGTGCATACCTTGGATGGTAAGTACAAGATATCTGCATGAGGAAGGGCCAACTTTCCTAATGTTCTGAGTTACCCAGGAGCTCTCCTGACCCTTAAGCATGATGACACACACAAACTCAGTAATAAAAGGGCCATGGTCCTCTGGAAGCTGGCAATTCCAGACTGCTAAGATGTGTGGCTTAGCAGCATCAATGAAGATGGTAACAATCCATGTAAAGAAAAAAACAAAACTACAGTGAATGTGTTCAGGTGAAGACTCATGGAGAAGAATCAAGGAGTGAGCTACAATCCTCCACAAAAGCCTTGTGGCGCTACTGGCACTGTGGCCGTGAGAGCTCCCAGAGCGCTTGCTTCAAACATCATGACAGAAACCGGAAGATGGATGAAGATAAGAGGAAACTGCCAACTTGGGAGAATATTAAGGTGGAAAAGTGCAACATGTTAAATGCAACTGTGCTGTTCATGTTCACTTTCGAACTTCCAGTATGGTGAATAGTCAGCTTCATGTTTGTTTTCAGATCAGACTAAAATGTGGCCCCTTTGTTCCTCTTTTTGGTTATTCATCTCATCTTGTTTAGGTAAATAAACTTCCTGATTTACTACATGTCCTTATTTCCAAAACAAGTCCCTAAAATACCTCTAGCTCCTCAGAAAGCTGCAGAAACGCATTATAATTTTTGCAATGTGCTACCTTTAGTTTCACCATTTTACATTTATTTGAACTTTCTGAATCCATACATTCTTTTTAATGTACACAGACTAAAGCTCACAGAATTGCTCTTGCAAACCAGTATTGGAGGTCCCAGAACCAGCTGTCGGTTCTCTGTTTTAGTGGCTCAGGAGTTATCCTGAGAAAGGAGCCATGCCTGTATGTGATCAGCAAATCTGAAGCATATACCTAGGAAAAATTGTCCTTCCTTTGTACCGTGATACTGTATCTCACTGCAGTAGTAGCAAGCAAATCAGATAAAGTCAATCAATCAACCACAAAACCTGGACAGGCCTTTAGCCATGCTGCTGCTCTATTTTCTTAGAGATCAGCAGAGCTGTCAGTATTCCAGATGTAATGCAAAGCTGGATTTGAAAACTTAGGATCATTTCATTTCTATTTCACTAAAAAGGAGGATGGTCACTGCCTGCTTCTGCTTATAGTGAAACAAACAACAGGGAGGTCAGTGGAGGAGGACGAGGCTACGAGAATTTAATTTCGCTGGAACGTCTGGACCTAAATACAGCACTTGAGTTGGACAGAAGAAATTGTGAATAGGGAGAAATAGAACTTTTTTTCTTTGGTATTCAGCAAATATAGATGTTAAGTATACAGCACAGACTCTTACGGACCAGGGCATTTTAGTTAAAAAAAAAAAAAAATTTAAACTGAAGCCACGGCTCGCTTACTAACTGGATTTTAGACTCATTAATGGAAGTCTCACTTGTTCGTTGTCTGAGAAATTAGCTGTGCTGGAAAAGTGGGGCAGAAGCCCAAGTCGAAGCCCTACGTTCTGCTGCCTAACATCCCCTGTCAGCTTAGCTTTAAAAACATACCTCAGCATTCAGGCTGAGTATCAGCAATAGCTAGATGTACTATTATCCAATAATGGGTTATGTGCACTTGGTTGTAGCCACTAGCCACAAAAAAGAAAGTACAAACAGTGGTATCTACCAGTAGGAGGGCAGCCAGACAACGTGCTCAAGAATGGAAAAATATGTAATACAAAATATTTTAGGAAGGCTCTTTGAAAGAAGAATATTTTCTTCTCTTTGTATATGTTGAACAGAAGAGTTTTCAAATGAAGTACAGATTTTGCACGTCTCCTGAAACAAGTCACAGAAGAACAGCCTGAAAACAACAGCGAAACAAGACTGTAGGTTTTAAGACAATAAAAACTCATGAATGATCTGCTCTGATCATGTCAAAAGCCAAAAACGCTTGTAATATACTTGTAGAGGTGTGCATGAATGTGACACCTCCGCAATAATTTTAATCCTACGGCAGTCCACAGTTGGCTTCATCTTCTCATGGAACAAAAAGAAAGGGAAATGAAACTAGAAACTATTTTACCATTTTAAGGCACGCAGTGCAGTATTTGATGATTTTGTATTACTTGTCATTGCTTCACATTTGGTAAATAAAGTCCCTATGGAAAGATTTTTGCAGTAAATGAAAATGATTTTCAGCACCAGTCAGCTTAGTTATCTGACATTTCAGTAAGTTCTCACCACTCCGAGATTAGCACACAGGAAGTCTTGGACTTTCATGGAAACATCTTCCTGGATGGCATCTGGGTAGAGCAGCTTTTTCTAGAATCTCACTGAGAAGCACTCGAGAATTTTTCCTTTTACTAGCAAAAAGCAGTAGCTGCTTATCTCATCTCACAGATGTGATGAGCAGGCAATTGCATCAGATTGAGCTCACAGACAGGTCTTCTAAGTATTCATGCAGGCTTCAGATTGCCTTAAACACACTTTATAATTTTGCCACGTGATTTTCATGCAGACCGTGAGAGAATCTTCATACACAGAAGAATTTGTGCAAAATTTATCTGACACAATGGATTCATGTCAAAACCTCATCCCGTTTAGGATTTACTGCCAAAGCCTCTGTCCTAGAGGTCTTAACAGACAACGTGGAACATCATATTTCTGCACATTACATTCTCCAGGTAAGATGCATGAGACTGACATAGGAAAATTTAGTTATAACCTACATTTTCACAAATAAACAGAGGAGGTTTTTGACAGCAAAAGGTCATTTTCAAGCAAGAAGTGGTTTTGAAGAGATCCTGCCTGGGAGAGAGGGCATTTGCTTAGAAATTCTGGAAAAAGACAGTTATGGCCTGTTCTGAGAAAAAAGAGCATGTTCCTCTCAGTTGCCTGTTTTTCTTGACTTACTCCACCTCTTACCGCTGATTCCCTTCGTTTCCTTCTCTCAAGGTATCAAGAATTAATGAGACAGAAGTTACAATGAGGGAGACGATAAAAGCCTAACACTCTTCATGTTTTATAGGTTTACAGTTCATAGATGTAATTTTAAGTATCAATATGAGGACAGAGATTATTTAAACATCTCAGCTATCATAGGCTCTTAGAAATTTTGAAGACCTTACAGTTACAGCTACAGCTACTCGCTACTAAAACCACAGGCTAAAACAGCTATGACCCAGAACCCTATCTAGGGTAAAGCAATTAAGACACAGCTGAAACTCTCCTTCACAGTGACACTGAAAACAAAGCGCATGTGCAATAGGAACATACATCACGCTGTTTGTGACTCTGCTTATTTCTCTGTATGTTACATTTTTGAATGAAATAAATTATTTAAAAAATTAATGCACCTTCATTACTTACTCTTTAGTGGCTGTGCATTAATTCTCACAGTTAAGAACACTGGATAATCTAAACACAACGATTAAAACAGTGCAGTCACTGCAATTATTTTGAGACTCTGGCTGTACAGTTTAGAAAAGATTTTTGGTCTACCGTTGTGCAAAGGAATGCTTAAGTGTTTTCTAACAAACTTGAATGATAACGCTGTTGACGAAACAAAGTTTGTTAGGTAAGCAGAAGTGTGCTTAACAGGTACGTTTTAAATACAAGTCATGCACGAAACAAGTCACTTAAAAAAATACACTTACCTGGTAGGTAAACTGCACATCACTTGGTGATTTACCTAATTTTCCATTGATGTTAACCTCAATTTGACCTTGTTTTGGTTCAGTCATTCTTCCAACTTGACATACAATCCTATCAAGAAATAATGTAAGTTTATCTGTTAAGAATAACAGCTGCAATACAAAGGGAATGTACTACAGCAAAACTATTTTTTCTTTAGCTACCACCCACAGTGCAAGCAAAAGTACTAACTTTTATACCACCCAATGTACTCGAGTTCTGCCTCAGAGATCCCCACCAAAACCATCCAAGAATATTTCAATCTTGGATCTACCCAAAAGCAAAACCGAAACCTGCACACTGTACACAGCGACTACTTAGTAGTCGGTTAGTAAAGGTGACTCTTACTGAAAAATCAAATTAACTCCAAAATCAACGATGAAAGTACCCAATCCTAAACAATGTTTTGACTGTATACAGTAACGCTAAAAAAAGACAAAGAAACCTGCCACCTTGATATAAGAATCAGACTGCTACCTTACAACTTTGTGTATTTAGTTTATCACACTCTTCTTGTGCATCCTGTTATCTTTCAGCTTTAAACTACTATATTTTCATACCTACTGTCAAAATCCCTTTAGAATTACTGTTCACTGAAAATATATCCTAGGTAACCCATGCAAAATCAGAGGTCCAGCAATCCTGGAGGAGAAAACACCCTGCGGGAACTACCACTGCGGCTGAGTTATAGCTGGGCTGTTTAAATTTTCTGATTAAACAGTTGATCCACAGAATATAAGGCATGGATGTAAGACTAAGAATATAAGAATGTAAGTCAGGATTCAACACAGTTGAAAACTGGGGCAAACCCTTAATAGAGAGCTGTCAGATAAGGATGCATATAAAGTTTGCAGTCTTTGCAGGCAGTGAGTCTCGTACCGGACACACCCTGGGAACCACTGTACGTTTCCTACGTTCTTTGGATTATTGCCGTTCTTCTTAAAGCAATGCACGATTGCCCTCAAAATCCTAAATAGAAAACGATCCCCCCCTTCAGCCTCCCCCCCCCAAACTTTACTGAGAATAATGTACTCAAATTGGGGCTTATAATAAAAGGATTGTGAAGTGCCTCTGCAGATCCCTCCACAATGTTGAGCCTGGGTACTGGCAAATGGACAAAATTCTCTAAATTCTTGCATGTCCTGGCATGTGCGCGGCTGCATGCGCCTGCCGTCTGTTCCTCATCATCTCTACTGTATTCTTGGAAGTTGTATCTCCTTGTCAGGCAGACACAGGAAATGGTGCCTTCGGAAGAATTTCGACCATATGTCAAGCTAAGGAAAGCAGTCGGGGGCCGGGGTGGGGGGGGGTCGCCGTCATGCAGTTCGTAGTGATTTTAATTGAAAAAAGTTCCCTCCTCTGCCCAGTGTTAGCATCGCCTCCCTTCCCCCAGGCGACAAATGGAAAACTAACAAAGAATGAAATCATGATTTCTCTGAGGCCGACGGCTGAATCAATAGCAACGCCAGAAAGCAGCCTGAAGTGCCTGAAATCTCCCCGCTCTCCTACCCATGGGAAGAACTGTCTCCTAAGATGGCTTTTTACTGCAGAAGGATAAGAGAGCACAACCGAGTGCTTAATTTTTTTAATTAAAACAAAAAAGGATAAAAATAAAACAAAAGAAGGCAGGAAGATATAGAAAGAAAATTATAGACACCTGTTTGGAGATCCTGAATAACTTCTTTTTCAAGGCTTCCCTAATGGAGAACATCCTTCAAAACTCCCTAATTTGTTGGTAAATTACATTAAGCAAGTTGCATTTGTTCTCACCCATTACCACACTGGCAGAACTTAGGAAACCAGTTATGTTGCTATGATACAAGAAACCAGTCATCTCATTCTGGCTTCTTTCCATGTATTTAAAAATATCAAAAAGCTTTAGAAAAAGCCAAGAGGCTGGGGGAAATTCTTGTAATGCTATGCTGTGATTCAGTGCAGCTTCTGCAAACACCGAAAACAGGGAATGGGAAAAGATGACTATAGGAGAGTTGGAAATTAATGTGGATGGTGCTGCATGTATAAATGGGAGAGCTGGGAGTGGATTTGGGAAGCAGTAAAAGACATGCATCTCTATATATTCTTAGGTCATTGAGGCCTAGGAAGCTTCTAAATTTGCCCGATCCACCAACTGACTTTTCAAAAGCTAAAAAATCACTTAGGCATCTTTAAAATACCTTTCAAAATAAGCCACAAAAATAGCAAGGAGTTACTGTATTACACTTAAAAAATAAATGAAGGGAAAGAAAGTCAAGGTTTCAATTGCAATTTGAAATATCAGAAGTGAAAGGAAAAAAATCAAAGTGTTTGAAATACATCATTACTATTAGTATTACTACTGACCGTTGATGCTATGCTTTTTATCAGCTAATATCCAAAGGGTATTTCCCTCTTGAAATTAGATGCTTGATAAAATCTGTAGTAAGCACTACATTTCTAGAAAAATGTAGGCACCTTATTTTCACTTTTGGTAGTGTTTAAGAGGGTGACAAGTAATCCACAAAGCATCTACCAACCTGCTTAGGCAATTCAACATCCATGGACTTGTCAGCTTTGCCATCAAAGTTAGTCATCTAGAGCTCCACCAAAACTCAGGGCTCCCTCCCTGGCCCCAGGAAAGAATCTTTGGGGCTGGACTAAAACAAATAAAAAAAATCAAGCTTCCTCTTGCTTTGCCTGACTTTCCCATAGATCTTGTATGCCTGGCTGCACTTGATTTGGATTTTGTAAAGAGTTTAATGACGGGCTGCATATCTGCGATGCCTTGTATTTAAAAACAAATACATAGTTTTAAAACATCTGCGGTAATAATTCATAAAAGCTTTTCAAACAAATAAAAAAAAAGCAATCTGAAACACAAGGGTAGTACTCTGTCACAAACTTGTTGCTGTAGTAGAATCTATAACATTTTTAAATAAATCCTCAGACACGTATGAAGTGTTGCAGGTGTATTGCATTAGATTTTTCTTCTATTGATAATTTCTTGTAACTGCAGGGAGATCTTTTTTCTTCTCCTGAAAGTGCACAGAAGTTTCTATTTTCTCCTAAAATCTTGTGAAAAATATGCAACAATTACCTTGTGGAAACAGAAT